AAAAAAAAAAAAAAAAAAAGTTGTATAGTAACTACGTTCACGCCCCTCGCGGACGTGCTGCCACGACACACCCAAACGAACGAAATGCATGCAAACAAAATATCTCGGCGGCCGCGACAACGTCGGAAAGTCATGGGATCTCAAAACTACATATTGGGCCTCGCTGCACTACTCTAGCCTCTCAAAATTTTGAGAGTGGGTCGTCGCTGCACTTAGGGCCTCGTTCCACTACTCGCCATCCGCCACGCATGGCGGATGCGACTTCGTTCCACTGCATCGCCAATAGCCACGAAATGGACGCTGTCAGGATTTCGGTCCGAAATCACCTTGCGATGTGTCGCCAAGGCTTTCCATTTCCCCTGCCTGCAACGACCCTTGGTGGAGGTGCTACTCCTCACCCCTCCGCGAAATGCTTCGTGTGGCCATGGCCCCTGACACAGCCGTCCTGAAAGTAGCCCCTGACACAGCCGTCCTGAAAGTAGCCCCTGACACAGCCGTCCTTAAAGTAGACCTTCGTTGTCCCCTAGTGTTGGCGAGTTTTCGCTGCACCGGGAGTGATTTCCAGTCCGAGTACATGGCGAAGAGAAGGCCGCCACCGTTCCATTAGCTCGCCATCCGCCACAGTCCGGGGCGCAGGCGGGGACAGCAACCACAACGCACGTGGCGGCGGCGATGTAATGGAACCAAGAGCCTTTTTCCGCCCGAAAAATGCACTTTTTGGCCTCGCCAAGTCTCGCCACTGTTTGTGGCGGATAGAGAGTAGTGGAAAGAGGCCCTTACTCTCGATCGGGAAACTCTCGAAAGAGCTGTCAGAAGGCACTCTATAATGCAACTCTCGAAACGTAGAGAGTCCCCCGCCTGAAAAAACGGAATTTGCAAGTGCCCTCGGGAGTTGCCCGCCGACAGGCTCATTTTTCGAGAGTGGACCTCCTGTCCCAGCGGCCAGACTTCATCCTGTAGCGCAGTGGTGCAGCTCTTCTGTCGAGTAGGACCACTCCCAGGGCTTGGAGAGTTCACCTAGTGCAATAGGTTATAGAGTAAGTGCAGAGGAGGGTATTTCGAGAGTCTTGCCTCTCTGACAATGCTAGTCGAAGTCGAACTCTCGAAACATTTCGAGAGTCTAGAGTAGTGCAGCGAGGCCCATTGAGCAGAGTCTGCTGATGTTCGTAGGGGAGGGGACCTGAGGGGAGGCACAGGGATTGGTCCTGTTGGCGTGGTCCCTGATGCTACCGGCTGTCCCCCAGCCGGTATCGCCCACCTGCAGGTCGGGAGCAGCCCCCGCATGTTCTCTCGTGAACACGGTTCTGGCTGCTACGGGTTCCCCGTATGCCTACAATTAGGAATTTAGGAGTAGTGGTAGGTAGGTAGTGTGAGGTGAAATTGAGAGAAGAACAAAACTACACGGTACCTGGGACCCTAAGGGCTTCCGTGTCCCGCCGGTACAGAACCGAGTGAGAGTCTACTCAGCTGTACGTATTGAGATCACTCAGCTACTGTACCGTCGCCATACCTAACCACGCCTTTTTGACCAATGTTTACGGTCACAACACTCACAATTCTCTCGAGGTGTAGGCGATCTGTGGTCGATGACCGGAATCAGTACCACGATCTGTGTTCGTCGCTGCCCAGCAACGGCCGCGATGGATGACAACGCTCTGGTTCTGAAAAGTCAAACGTCTGTCAACGCGCGTGCGATGCTCGTACAGTTGCCCCAACCTCGGGTCAAGTCATGAGTTATTGTTGCCGTAACCTCGAGTCAAGTCATGAGTTGCTGATGCTGTAACCTCGGGTCACGTCGTGAGTTAACTACCGGTTGGTCAAGTCATGTGCTATCTGTAATCGTCTCTGTTCTTTTTTTCGTCTCTTGCAGAGTGCCTGATGGACTGCCACGTGTCATGCGACGTGGCCGGGAGGTTGGCAATGGGGAACGGAGGTGGCTAACAGTCGCGGCAGAACGAGATGTCATCTCCTCTGAACGATGATCGTCTATTGTATATTCTTGATCTATGTATGTATAAATATATATGTATGTACATAGATATAGATAGAGTACAAGTCAACGGTCGTTGGTCGACGAGTGGCTGCCGATTGCGATCGGGCTGATTGGTGGCTCCGTGCTGCTTGACTGTGTCGCCGCCGGGCAATCCTAGCACTAACGGGGCCTGCAGGAACGATACCTTTGTGTGGAAAACACGTCGTCGACTGTTGGATGACGAAGCGGTAGGGCAATTGCACGTGACACGTGTCATAGCGGGGGGAGGGCAAGCGTGTCAAGGAGTCTTTCTGCCGGTGGAATGTAAGCGTGGTCGTATAGAGTTGCGAGTGCGAGAGAGAAGGGAGAGGAAAGAGAGAGAGGCGGCTGCTGGGTGGAGAAGGTGGTGAGGTAGGACGGAGCGAAAGGCAGGAGGGCAGTGGACGGAAGAATCGGAGATGTTTGGAGGATGTATGGGTGGAGGAGGTGTTAAGGGAGGAAGGAAGTACGTGGCGGAGGGCAGTCGACCTATGTGTGGGTGAAGAAAAGGTGGTTAGGGAAGAAGAAGCCCGAGGGAGATGGAAGTCGACGGGGGAAGCGGAAATGTTTGTTCGGTGAATCTGTGGGTGGAGAAGGCGGTGAGGGAGGAAGAAGCGAGAGGCGGAGGGCAGTCGACGGATGTGTGGGTGGAGAAGGTGGTATAGTAGGAAGGAGAGGGAGAGGCAGAAGGGCAGTGGACGGAAGAAGCGGAGGTGTTTGTTCGGTGAAGCGGTGGGTGGATAAGGCGGTAAGGGACGAAGAAAGGGAGAGGCGGAGGGCAGTCGACGGAGGTGTGGGAGGAGAAGGTGGTAAGAGAGGAAGAAGAGCGGGAGAGAGGGCAGTCGAGGGGAGAAGCGAAGGTGTTTGTTCGGTGAATCTGTGTGTGGAGAAGACGGGAAGGGAGGAGGAGGAGGCGCGAGGCGGAGGGCAGTCGACGGATGTGTGGGTGGAGAAGGTGGTAAGGGAGGAAGAAGAGCGAGGGAGAGGGAGAGGGCAGTCGACGGGAGAAGCGAAGGTGTTTGTTTGGTGGATCTGTGGGTGACGTATTCGTGATTGATTGAGATGGACGCATGGCGATCGAGCACGGCAGGGGAGTGGACGACTCTGGGAGGGTCGGTGGGTTTGTCATCATCAAGAGGCATTCGCCACGTGGAAGCAGCTTGTTTATCGTTGATATCCGAGTCGGCGACAGCGACGACGGCATCGGTGTGTGCGGCATCGACGTCCAAGGACGAGCTCGAAGCGCGGGGAAACACGTGTGCATCGTCGGGGACAATTCCCGCGCTTTCGAGAAAACGCGGGACCGCACTGGCCATCGCGACACCACGGAAGCCGACGCGCAGATTGGGGAACTGGAGAGAGCGAGGCGGCGGGAGCCACGTGCCGGCGTCGGTGGGCCTGGCATCGACGTCCAAGGACGAGCTCGAAGCGCGGGGAAACATGTGTTCATCGCCTGGGGCAATTCCTGCGCTTTCGAGAAAGCGCAGGAGTTCGTTGGCGATCGTGACAGAAGCGAAGCCGACGCGTAGATTGGGCAACTGGAGAGAGGGAGTCGGCGGGTGTCAGGGGCATTGGTGTGACTCGCTTGCAGCAGCTGTCGTAGACGGGGATGACGGTCTTTGTGGTGGCGGAAGGGAGGTGCGGAGAGAAAGGGGGTTAGTAGTGGGAGGAGGGGGGTGGTGGAGGACGAAGAGCGCTAGTGCGGGGAGATTGCGAAATGCAAGTGGCGCTTCCGCCGCTGTGCGCCGCTTTCGTTCCGCCGCTGCCGGGTGCATCATCGACGGAGGAGGGGGCTTTGGGGGGGGCCGACACGTGAGCAGTGCTCGATGCGTGCAGGTGGATGGGGTGCGGCGTTGTGTGGGAAGTGGGGTGGGGACTGGGTATTGGAAGAGAACGGGGAGTGGGGGATGGTCGGGGGAAAACGGCCGTCTCGGTGGCGGCCGTATCTTGCGAGCTGGCCTCTTGTCCGACAACAGCAGGGCAGGGATGTATCGGATGCCGAGTGAGGTGTTGGAGAAGCGCGTGAAGAGAAAAGGTAGAGGCCATGGTGGAGGAGGTGCGTTGCGAGGAGTAGGCTGTGTGCTCTTGTTGAGGAAGCTGATCTGTTTGCAGACACTTTTGGCGGCGGCCTCTTGGGGCTCGAGGTATGGGTGGGGTAGGTTCTTGGGCAAGGCCGGAACGAGAATAAGACGGTCGTCGCTGGCGGAGACGAAGGTGGAGGAGGACAGCAGGAAGAAGGCCGGGGAGAGTGGGGTAGAAGGAGAGAAGGGCAGAGGAGAAGGAGAGGGTGGAGACCGGAAGAGAGAAGGATTGCTGACCGACCGAGTGGGTAGAGCGGTTCTGAGCGGTCGTTCTCTTGTTGCGACTGGTCGCCGACCGACTGCGTCCGTCGGTGGTCCGTGGATCGATGAATTGACGGCCAGGTTCGTGTTCCTCCTGCGGAGAGGAGAGAGAGATTGGGAGGGCGGGACGGAGAAAGGGGGAGGAGAAGTAGTGGGCTATGCTGCTGCTGCTGCCGATTTCGCTGAGGACCGATCTGTCGTCGTTGGGGAAATGTCTGGAGGACGCAGGGAAGGGGAAGGCATGCGGGTTGTTGGTGGAAGGTCTGGAGAAGAAATGGGGTATGCTGCTGCTGCTGCTGCTGATTCCGCCGAGGATCGATCCGTCGCCGTCGTTGGTGCCTTTGCGGCGGCTGAGGACGGTGACACGTGGCGGGAGGAGAAGGGAAGTGGCAATGCCACCACCGGTCGTCTTTCTTCTCCGTTCTCGTTTCTGTCTTCAGCGTTGGCATTTCCCGTCGTTTGCGGTCCATTTGCGCCGGAGAATGGGCGGCGGTTGGTGACATTTCCCGCCGTTTGCGGTCCATTTGCGCGGGAGAATGGGCGGCGGGTGATGGAGGGGGAGCTTGTCTCTTCCTATCAACCTGATGAGAAGAAGGAACAGGGTTGGGTGTTGGCCTTGGCGGTGGCTGTCGCTCTTGGCTGCTGCGTGGCAGTGACGAGCTGGCGGGGATTTCTCTCCTCATGGAGATTCGTTCGGGGGCGCAGTCTCTCGCAACAACAATGGCATAGTACGTGTTGCATTGGTGGGGGCCGTAATACGAGACGGATAGGGGGTCTCACGTGGTGCAGAAGGGCTGCGGGGACGGTCCGTCGGGGGCGAGACTGCGTTGCCAGTGTCGATGACGAAAACGATGGCGTCGAAGCGGGGAGTCGATCCCGGGACCTTATCGTTGATGGAAACATCCCGCGTGCTAGAGTCGATGAACAAGGTAGAGAAGGAGAGGGGAGAGGAGAAGAGAGAGATGGAGAAGGGAAAGAGGGAGAAGGGAGAGATGCTGTTGGTGCGGGGTCTCGATCCCGGGACCTTATCGTTGACGGAAGAGTTCCGCGTGCTAGATTCGATGAACAAGACAGAGAAGGGAGAGATGGAGAAGGGAGAGAAGGAAAAGAAGGGAGAATAGCGTGTGAAGGTAGCAGTGATTGGGATAGGGTTTTAGGAGGGGGGTTAGGGGCTTTGGGAGGAAATCGGGAATGGGAGAGAGGGTTTGGAGGAGGAGGAGGAGGAGGAGGAGGAGGGGGGGGGAATTACCCCTCTTCACCTATCTTGATTCCGGATATGGCAAGGCTGGCGGCGGAGAGCTTGTCCGCATCGACACGTGTTGCAGCTGTGGTCCCCGGACTAGATGAGGTCCAACCAGAGCCGACGATCGTTTTCGTTGGCGGGAACTCGACTAGGAGGAAGAAGAGCAACAGCTTTGTGAAGCTGGCCGCTGACCGAGTGGGGCCTTCAGTCGTCCGGCTTGACACAGAGAGATGGAGGTGGGTTTTCTTCTTGTTGGTCTTCCTCCCCCCCCTCCCCTCTCCCCTCCCCCCCTTCTACAGTGTGGATGGATTTGCTTGTTTTCTGGTCTTCTCCCCTCCCCCCCTTCCTTGGATTTGCGTGTTTTTTAATCCCTCCCCCGCACCCTTCTACAGTTTGTGAATGCCCCCCTCTTATGTGCGTGGATTCGGTATTCTCCCCCCCAACCGGCCCCCGCCGTTTTTTAGACTGTGGATGGATTTGCATGTTTTTGGGTCTTCTCCCCGCTTCTTCGTCTGTGGATGGAGCTGCGTGTTTTTTTTAATTTTTATTCTGTTCTCTCCCGAAAGATCTATGAGTCGATTGAATTTCAATAGAAAGAGGCCGGGGACCTCGAAATCCTCTTTTTTTTTTTTTTTTTTTTTTTTTTTTCCGTTTTTTTTTTGTAAAAAACTCGATCGGAGTTAGAATAGCAAAATTTCAAATTTGGCCATTGCTTGTCATTATTCGGTATTCTCCCCGTTCCGTAGTCTGTGGATGGAGGTGCGTTTTTTCTTAGCCTCCTCCCGTGTCTCAGCCCCTCGTCCCCCCTCGCAATGCTCTACATGCATTTGGACGCTTTTGCTCTACATGCATTTGGACGCTTTCTGGAGCAGCAAGTGCATCGGACGAGTCGACTAATTTGCATGTATCCGTCCAAAAAGCGTCCAAATGCATGTAGAGCGTTGTGTAGTGGAGCTAGGCCCTCAGTCTTTGGAAGCATCCACTTGTGCATGTTGAGTGTTGTGTAGTGGAGCTAGGCGCTCAGTCTTTGGAAGCATCACTTGTGTATGTAGAGTGTTGTGTAGTGGAGCTAGGTTTAGTCTTGTGGGGATTCCCCCCGGCCCCTCCCCCCCAAAACGAAAAAAAAAAAAAAAAAAGGACGACGGTCTTGAGGTCTCATCATCGAACTGACCGGCCCTTGGTAATTCAGAGTTGTAGCATTTCACTCATCTGCTTCCCCTGGAGTTTGAACTCGGGTCTGTAGTTCAACAACAGTTCAGTTCAAGGGTGTACTAACTGAGGTAGGCCACAGTTTGTTTGTGTGAAGTTTTGAGTGGCAGCGATCGTCAATCCCGATAAGCTCTGATGGCTGTAAATGTTTTTTTTTTTTTTTTTTTTTTTTTTATCATCGGATTCATTTCTTGGATTTGTGCGTGTCATCCTTGCGCGCAGGGGTCATGTTAATCTGCTTTCTCTGTATCGTTCCAATTTTAACGGGGGCAGGGGTCATGCTAATCCGCTTTCTCTGTATCGTTCCAATTTTAACGGATGTCCCGGGGACCAAGTCCCACTAGCAGCGTTGAGTTTCTTCAACGCCTGAATCTGGATGTGTTTGTGGCGATGTGCGGTTGAGGAAACTCAGCGCGGCGATTTCTGCACATCTCCACAAACACATCCGGATTCAGGCGTTGAGGAAACTCAACGCTGCCAGTGGGACTTGGCCCCCGAAGGACAGAAATGTTCTTCGGGGATGATAATGATCTTGTTGATTAAAAAAGAGAAAAAAAAAGATCATGATCTTGATGAAAGAGGTTATCTCGCCTTCGATTGGCGTGGCTTGCGGCGATCGCAGATCCCGACCGCGATAGCCTGTGATGGTGGGACGTTTTCATTGTCATTAACGGAAGAAGTGTGCGTTTTTTTTTTTTTTTTTCTCCTTTGGGTGTGCGGTGTATTTAGGGTCTCGCTAGTCCACTCGCCAAATGCGGAGAAGAGTCTTTTTATAATGGTGAATGTATCTTTCTTTCTTTTGTGTGAAGATTCATGCACTCGTCGTTTTTATGTGGTGAGTACTGCGGGTACCGCCTTCCCCCGAGCATAAAGCATATGCCTTGTAAACGAATACAAAGCGCATAGTTTGCTTCTAATCGAATAGAACGCATATGCGTTCGATTCGAAGAACCGTTGTTTCCGAATATAATGCATGTGCGTTCTATTCGAATTTTCGAATTTTAAGAAAGACTCGAATACAACGCATATATGTATCTTCGGGGGAAGATAGTTGACGTTTTTTATTGTCCATGGTTTTCCAGTTTGTTTCTCTTGGTTGGAAATCTCTCCACTACCTTCTTCTCCCGGATACAACGTATGGTGACTAGTGCTGTATTTGGTGTTGTTTTCAGTCTAAATGCAACTATTATATAATGACCTTACGTTGTATTCGGGGGAAGAAGGTAGTTGAAGCTCTTCTTGCTCATCCCTTCAGCAGCGCTTTGTTGTTAAAAAAAATAATAATGTTAATAGCTAGGCTACCAGCCGGGCCGCCCGGGTCCCGGGTGGCCAGCCCGCGCAAGGACCAGGGAAGGTCCCAGCGAAAAAAATAAAATAAAATAAAATCCACAAAATAACTATGTTATGCAGAAAAATAAACTGAACAACTTTTGCCTCAGGGTCACATCGAAATTCTTCACCAAATTTCAAATACAAAATAAACTTTAGAAATCATTTTTTATATTTTTATTTTTTTAAATGATTTTGGCCCGGCCGGGCAAGTGACCCCGGGCCACTCTGGTAGCCTAGGTTAATAGAGGAATTTATACTTAGTCCCTATGGAGATTTTACTAAACCAGATTGCATCGGCGGATTCGAATTCATGATGCGCTTTGTTCAAACTTCAAATCTCTCCAGTAGTGTTGTTCTCCTTTCTCATCCCTTCATTCAGCTGTTTGCGTTGTTTAAAAAATAAAATAATAAAGGAGTTAATACCAGGGTTTTTGTACTTATCCAGGTACCATCGAAGGATGCGGAACTCATGATCAGCTCTTCAAAAGATATAGTTGTCTGTGTACCACACAGCCACATGGGACGGGTGCACAGTGTGTGTGTACACCATTCAGCGACCTGAGCTGGGTGGATTGAGAGGATTCGAATTGGTGATCTGGTGATCGAAAGACACTTGTTTGTATGATTCTGCCACAAGGGCTGCGTGCGTGCGGTGTTTTGTTTGGCCATCACTCTGCCTGCACTTGCCTGCACTGATGATGCGTGCGGTGTTTTGTTTGGCCATCACTCTGCCTGCAYTGATGATCGGCCCCGTGCCACGTGGCATGGGCTGGGTGCATTGAGAGGATTCGTACTGGTGATCTGTTCATCGAAAGTCACACGTGTTTGTATCACACTGATGATGCGTGCGGTGTTTTGTTTGGCCATCACTCTGCCTGCATTGATGATCGGCCCCGTGCCACGTGGCATGGGCTTGGTGCATTGAGAGGATTCGTACTGGTGATCTGTTCATCGAAAGTCACACGTGTTTGTATCATTCAGCCACCGGGGCTGCGTGCGGTGTTTTGTTTGGCCATCACACTGCCTGCACGGATGATCGTTCCCGTGCCACGTGGCATGCATAGGCTGAGAGACGTCTTCGTGCCACGTGGCATGCATGGGCTGAGAGACGTCCCCGTGCCACGTGGCATGCATAGGCTGAGAGACTTCCCCGTGCTATGTGGTATGGGCTGGTTGCATTGAGAGGGTTCGAACTCGTTATCTGTTCAGCGACATGAGCTGTTTGATTGTACCCCCGTGCCACGTGGCATGGGCTGGGTGCATTGAGAGGATTTGAACTCGTGATTTGTTCGTCGAAAGGTACACACGTCTGTATCATTCAGCCACATGGGGTTCGTCTTGATTCTCGCCATCACTCTGCCTCCAGCGATTGATCGTCCATTCAAGTGGCACGTGGCATGGGGACGTACGCACCCCATGAGCTGGGTGCATTGAGGGGAGTAGATCGTCCCCGTGCCACGTGGTATGGGGAGATGCGCAGCCCATGAGCTGGGTGCATTGAGAAGATTCGATATCGTGATCTGTTCATCGAAAGTCACACGTGTTTGTACCATTCAGTGAGACATTCAGCCACGTGGCAAGGGCTGGGAGACGGTCCCATGCCACGTGGCATGGGCCGGGAGACGGCCCTGTGCCACGTGGCATGGGCTGGGTGCAATGCTTTTTTTTCTTCCAGCGCGCTTGCTATCCGCGTGGCTGATCGGATCGTTAGACTCGTCCGAATACCTTCCTCCCCCTCTCCCCTCCACCTCTCCCCCCCCCCCTTCCCTTTCCCTCTTCCCCCCACTTTCCGCTGATCGGATCTTTAGGCTCGTCTGAATACCTTCCTCTCCCTCTTTTCCCCCTCCTACTTCCCCTCCTCTCCCCTCCACCTCTAACCACCCCTTGCCCCCGAGTTTGAATTCAGATGCGCTAAGACTAATAAAATAACCCTTTGGGCATTGGGCATTTAACTTCGTCGGACCTGGGTGCAGTTTCGGCTTGTTTGAACCGAAATCGTCAGGGCATACCGGGTTCCCGTCAGGAGGACCTGACGATTTTGGTTCAAAAAATGCCGAAGTTGCACCGAGGAACGTCAAAGTTTAACCACCAGTACCTCGCCCAGCTACTTTTCTCCGATGCGGCCGACAATGACCGCTACGAAAGAAAATAAGGAAAAAAAAAGTTGAAAGTGCAAATTAAAAAAGAAAGCCACAACCAACGGAAAAAAAGGGGCACGGCAGGGGGGGGGGGAAGAGAGAAAGAAGAGAGAGAGAGAGAGAGAGAGAGAGAGAGAGAGAGAGAGAGTCGTATGAATCTGGTGCACTAACGTGGCAAGATTCATTTGAATCTAGCATGTCGAGGCCACGGCACGCGCGCAAGAGAGAGATAGATGGATGGATGGATAGATAGATAGAGAGAGAGAGAGAGAGCCGCAATCCGCATACAAATCGCCCACTCTCTCTCTCTCTCTCCCCCCGTGCAGTTTCATTTTGCAAACAGGAATGAATCTTCCCATGGTAGCGGAAATATACATTCCCCTTTTGCAAATTGCTGCCACGCCGGGGGGGGGGGGGGGGGGAGAAGCCCCGGAAAGAGAGAGAGAGAGAGAGAGAGAGAGAGAGAGAGAGAGAGAGAGAGAGAGATTTGCATGAATTTTGCGCACTACGTGGCAAGGTTATTCAAATCTAGAAGAGGCCCCGCGGGGGCCGTGCAA